TCTATTTTAACACTCGTAGCATTTTTTTATTCCTCACTAGTTAAAGTCTTAGATAATTTTTTGGGATGAATATTATATTCAAGCTTACATAAAACTTTTTACAAGTTGGAGAATAGTTGTTTTTTTTTAAAAAAAAGACATAAATTTGAAAATTAGATAGAGTGGATAATTAGTGAATTCTCTAGTTTTTTTTCTAAGTGTAATAGGTAAATCAGCATCAGAAGGATAGTGATTCTCAAAATTTACCTCATTTCTAATGCTCGGCTAAGATTCTTGGACTTGCTCTGGACCAAAGTCGGATTTTTTCCTTCTTGAATCCACTTACATAAAACGTCGCTCCTATATAGGTATAGGGCTCAAGTTCATCTTATGAGGTTTGAGGTTTAGTTGCATTTTGTGAGTTCTAATCTTTTGGTGATATAATAGGTTCAGATAGTATAGGCAAAGTGTTTACAAGTAGGGAGGAATGAAAAAAAAATGAGTTTCTTGAGTCTCCCTTATCTTCTATTATAGTTTTCTCATGAAAGTAAGATTTATCAAAGAAAGATTTGGTCTCAATCAAGATCACATCGACAAATACTTAATTTCTTTATAGATTGGTGGTAACACTTGTATCCTGTTTGAATAGATGAATATCCAATAAAGACACACTTGATGATCTTGGGATCCAGTTTTCCTCTTTACTGCGGATGTACATGAATATAGGTAATACACCAAAAGATAGGAGGGATAATGTTATTGGTGACTTGTACCTCTGGAAAGAATGTAGTTTGAACCTCCATCGAACTTTGGAAGTCTAGTACTCTAGATGATAATGGATTGATAAGATATGTGGCAGTTAACACCACTTTCCTTTAGTAGCGTTTAGGTACATGGTTTTAAAACAAGAAGGTACTTATGATATTCAACAAGTGTTTTTTTTTTATTTTTTTCCAGCTCTATTTGTTGTGGAGTATAGACACAGAAAGACTCATGAACAATTTCTTCCTTTTAAAAGGAAGAGGTTAAGGTTCGGATAAGGTAATTTTTAATATTATCTATTTTAAAACATTTAATTATTAACTCAAATTGTGTTTTAATCATGGTACGGAATTGGGGAACAATATGATTACGTTCAGTTTTAAATTCCAATAGGAAAAACTAAGTAACCTGAGTACAATCATTAATGAAACAAGCAAATATATGCCTTGATATGTTAGGAACATTAAAAGGATCCCTTACATCACTATGAATCAATTGAAAAAGAAAATCACTTCTTTTATTACTAAGAGAAAAAGTTACATTCGGTGTTTTGCCAGTTCACATACATTATACAATTAGAAAATAAAGAGGGAAACATGACCTTGAGAATAGAGAAAGAGAGTCTAGTCTCTTATGCTACAACTATAGCTCACATAATGTATTGGTAGAGAGAACGGTACTGGGTATGTTAGGTATATCTAGGAAGAATAACATGTCCTAAGACTTAGTACGTCCAATCATCCTCCAAAAGTTTTGGTCCTTAAGTTCACAAAGAGAAGGAAAAAAATCATTATGCAATTAAGATCATAAGATAATTGGTTACTGATATAAAATGGGTGCTCAGTGTAGGTATGTGGAGAACATCCGTAAGAGTGAGGTAGGAATTAATGTTAATGGTTCCAATTCCTGCTATTATAGTTAGTGAACCATTAACACTAACAATTTTTGTATTGTTGGGATATGAAGCATCAGTGTTAAACAACTTAGAAGAGTTGGTCATGTAGTCGTTAGCTCTTGAGTCCATGATTCATGACAATGAAAATGATTTATTTCAGGTGTTAAAACCATGGAAAATAGAAACTGTGCTTGGATGTGTTAGGAGACCTATACCTTTAGTTTTTTCAAGTTGTTCGAGACGTGCCTGAAGGTGTTCAATATTTGTCTTGAAATCATAGGTCTCCGTAGGCTTATCCTCCTTGGCTACATGTGCATGCCCCTGTTTCTTCGTGTATCTCCAATCCTTGTTGGAGGTGTAAAAGTTTCCAACACTTTTCTCTAGTGGCACTCTTGGTTTCTTACAAAAGGTGTATCATAGATTTGCCCTGTTCTCCCTATTGGTAATTGAGGTCTCACTATGATTTGGTTCCTTCCCCAGTTAACGTGGTTTAGTAATTACCATTGCAGATTCCTCAAAGGTGCGGGATTCAAGCATAACCCCTCTTATATTTTCCTCTACCTAACTTAGAATATTACCTCGTTCAGGGATGATATTTCTTCCTTTTGAGATTCTGAACTCTCACCTGATTTTATTTTTCATTATGTCCTACCGTAAACTAGTATGTTTTATCTTTCTCAACCAGTCTCCTTAAGGCTGCTGCATCTTTGCTGCTTTCTATAGTAACATTAGGGTATTAGTCAAGTTCTTGCTATCAACCTTTTAAAGGTTGGCATATTCTCTTACTGTCTTGTTACCCTATTTGGTTGTTCCGGTTTTGATGGTTAGGTTATATATCCGAGCTGCATCTTTTCTCTTGGAATAGGTTTCTCGAGTTGAATCCCAAATCTCCTTTGTTGTAGGCAAGCACATAACTGCTTCACTAATATATGGTGTCATAGAATTCTAGAATCATGTCATAATCATCGAATCTTCCTCATCCTAAGTATCAAAAGTGCGATCTCTCAGATTTGGTTCAATACCTAAGGTATAACTTAGCTTTCCTCTGCCTTTTCTGGCCATCCAGATCAGTTGTGAGCAACTCAGATAATCTTCGCCATTGAGGCGGTATTCGCCTGAATTAGTTAAAATTTCATTGTTGCTTTATACTGAGTTTCTCATTGAGAAGTCTACATTGATAGATTGAGGCATATCATCTGACATCTTTCTGCTTATGGTAATTTAGGCTAAATAAGATATAATAGGAATGATATTAGTAACTGGAATTTCCAAAGGTTGAGCACAAAGAGTTGTGCAGTTTGGTGGTTGATTAAGCAAGGCGATTCGGTTGTGTTGGGAGTAACCGCGGTGGATTAGGGGGCAGGAAGGAACAGATGTGCAAGAAGTGGGATATAACTATACTATGCAGGTCGCTAGGCGCACAGTTGAGGCTCACCTAGCTCAACAGAAGGTGTATAGATGTAAATTGCTCTGGCCGGTCATTTTGGTGGCTGCTTTCGGTGTAGGTGCACAGTTCTTGTGGCTCGCGGTTGAACAGCTGCTTTAGTTGCTTCTGGCTGTGCAGTTTGGGAGCTAGGGTCGCTATGAAGGTCAGCTTTTGGTGGTGGTGGCTGGTCTTTGGTGGTCTGACTATAAAGGCTGACCCCCTTTAGAGTTTTCTTATTTTCGAAATGAAAACCAACTAGAATTTGTTAAAAAAGTCTAGAAGTTTTTAACATAAAACTCTGATAATATGTCAATTTATTGAATAATAGAGTCCTACATATACAGCTTTTATGAATCATAACAGGAAGCACTATTATTTATATGAAAGGAGTATATGACTAGATACACTTTATCCTAGTTACTATACAAATACACTTACCAAAATTAAGATATATCCACAATTAATTCGTATACAATATCAATATATTGAAGATGTTGTCAAAATTATAAAATCTCTTTCAACAATCATTACAATAAGTATTGTTAGTTAAATATTAGTATGAAATAGACTTATACTTAAAACCAGGAAAGCAGGAGATCTTTTATACAATTAAAGCCTAAGTTTAAGAGTAAAACTAATATTTCTTATATGTTAGAAGATGAAAGCTTGAAGTTCATTCCCAACGAGCAGTAGCCGCATAAGAGTTATTGGCTTTTGTTAAAGTTGTTTCTATTTGTCATCAAGATGTTGAGCAACTTCTGCTTTTTAACAATCTTAATCTACCTCTTGTCGTGGAAGTGGTTCCAATTTATAGTGACTGCATTAAAGAGATTTTTTAAGATAATTTCATTTTGGCTCGTGGGTTTCATGATTCTAAGAAATCTATAGTTTGGTTAGTCTTCAATTTTTGTTTAAAAATTATTAAAAGTCTCAACCTTTTAAAATTCTGAAAAACTTATTCATGTTTTTCCTATCTTGATGTTCTAACACTTTAAAACTCAAGGTTGAGTTTTCACCAAATTGGGTAGAAAGATACAGAATAGCAAGAATCTTAGTTTGGAATAAATTTTCGATTAGAAAATCTTTTCCTGTTATTTTTATTATTTTAAATTCATAAGTTATTTAATTTATTTAAGATTGTTAAGGTATTTTACAAATATGTTAGCGTAATTAATAGAGTATTTTATGTTGGTTATCATATCTGAATTCATCTATATGTATATATATCCCTATTCTCATTTTAATAAAAGATACGTAAATATTCAGTATTTTTTCTTACAGGTATTATAATAAATTAATTTTTTTAGGTAAATTTTTAATATTATAAAAATTATAATTTTTTAAATTTCTTCTTTTACAATTTTCTTCATTAGTGGAGATTATAATATTTTAATTTACTTTCAATCACAATTTAAAGCATTAAAGGAATTAGAATATTTTTACAATTCTTTTTTTGTATTTTTTCTTTTTAATTTTAACTAATACCTATATAAAGGTTAGTAGTCACCAACTTAAAGGAAAAAAAGAATGATGAATTAAAAATTTATTTGTTAAGGTTTTATTGTCTGTTATCTTTCCCTAAGCTCCTTCTCAAATTATTGTTATGTTTAATCTATCTTATTCAATGTATTTCTCATGATATTTCTTTACAGTGATCTCTAATTTTCTTTGATCTATCCTTATTCTTCTGTTTGTCATCTAAATTTTCTCCACTTCTATATTATCTTAGACAAATTAATTTAACCACTACGTGTCATGCATCAGTTTCTCTACATTTTATTGGAATAAGGCTACATATTTTTGTAGGAAAGTACTCGACCTACCTGTCATATTTCTGACTTTCTCTCCTATTAATTTTCTATAATTACATAAAGATATTAATATACATAAATGCATTGACCTACCATACATATACATATTGTATATATTTGATGAAAGCTACTTCTGGTGAACATGATCCTGCCCGAACATGGGAACTAAGAAATCAGGAGGCTCATAAGAAAACAAAACAGCATCAAGTACATGCAAACTTCCCTTGCTAAAATATAAGTTATTTGATTGTAGTTTTTAAAAACCTAAAAATATAAAAAGGATAAAAATAGTTATATTAAAGATAAGACACCTTCTGAAACATGCTAAAGTCTGAAAATACATGTGAACTTGAATATTTCTTGAGAGTCACCCTCTACAACTATATGTTGAATCCCCCTCGTAAGCACCAACTCCAGTCCATAAACCAACGCCAATATTTCTGCAATTTCCACTGTGGTTATAGATGGGATTTTACATATGCTTGCAAATACTATGTAACTGTTCCAATCTCAGCAAACCATACCCAATCTCGTCCTTTCGTCGTGGCAAATTGATGCATCAGAATTGAGTTTAAATGTTTCTTGTGAAGATGGTAGCCATGATGTTTGTTCTGCTTTGTTATTGCGGTTTTATGTGTTACTCCTTGTTCCGAATCCCTTGACCCTGTATACTCTCCATTTCATAGAAGGATGCCTCTAGTTTCAAAACCAGAGTACGTGGGTCTACCAATTTTGATTTGTGGATCCATTGATTTCAGCTACACCAGGTGCTCTACAGTGTAAGCATAAACCAGGATCTCCTAGAGACCTGGGTAGAAGAGAGACCTTTATGCAACCAATCACATATTCTTGTTGGTAACCTTTTGTGATAATATGGTATCTGTGTGTATTGTTATATATCTGTCTCATAGTTCTAATAGTTTTAGGCATCTACCGCTGCTACCTAACGTGCTTGTTTTAGCCTCTTAAAATTCTCAAAAGAACCATGCTGTCTTGCTTTTAGAAATGAAGAGCCTATACGTATTTATATATTGTGCTGTACTTTTCAATTGGAATGCAGCTTGTATCTCTTTGATATGATATGATGTCATCACTCCAAAATGCTTTATTAACAATCCGTTCGATCCATCTGTTATTCTACTTTTTCTTGCTATAATTTTGAATATTCCATCTGTTATTTTGTTTATCAGTTGCAAGTGGACATTATGAAGGTTGGTGGATACAAATTAGATGCCTTAGAAATTGAATCTGCTCTTCTAGAGGTAATTTTCTGTCATTCCACTTTTGTGCTTTCCTCGTGTTAAAAGATTTTCTCTAGTGAAGTGAAAAGTGAGTGTGTGGAATGAGTATTTCTGTAAACAAGAAATGGTCTGTTGGAACTGAAACAACCCTGTGTGGAATGAGTATTTCTGTAAACAAGAATGGTGTGTTGCAACTGAAACAACCCTGTTAGTAGTACAGCATTCAGTTGTTGAAGAATGTTGTGTGTTGGGCTTACCAGACAACGATTATGGAGAAGCAGTGACTGCAATAATTGTACCAGATGCATCAGCAAAGAAAAAGCGAGAGGAAGAATTAAAGTCTGCTATAACCTTGGAAGAACTTTGCATTTGGTCTAAAGACAAACTTGCACCATACAAGGTATTCAATTCATTCTATCTTTTGGCTACGAAGATTTAGTTTTGAACTCCAATTGGGGGAGGTATCTTTTCTCTAAGTTATTGATCCTGTGCATGGTGAAAAGTGTTTTCTTTTGTTCATGTGCAGCAGCTCCTTGGTTCTCTTGTAAATGAAATTCTTCTATAGTGAATCTAGTTTGTTATCATTTAATGTTCTGCATGTCAAAAACTGACCTGTGTTTGGGATCATACTGGAACTCCAAAAGCACTTTAGTGCAGTTGCATTCTTACCAATAAGTTGCTTTGAAACTCTTCTTAGATTTGAAAACAACATTTCTTGGATACTTTAGATTTCTTCAAACAACTAAAGGCTTCATGTTTTACGAATGCAAACTCAATAAAAGAGTCATGATAAACGCAAAACAAATTCTCTTAGAAACTACTTATAAGTGGACAATCCACGTCAACTAAACCAAGTAACCTTTTCTATCCGCATCAGCTGTCATATCATTTGTATTATGACTTGCATTAAATTTTTTTATATTAGCACTTTGCTTTTATGAGATTGATGTTGTAAAATTCTCCAACCCTAACGCTAGCTGTTTTTCCTCTTTCTGCTTGTGTCTACTCGTTGTTGAAGTTCCTGTTAAACAGCATCATACATCTTGCATTTATTTTATCTATTTAAATCATTGAGTCTCTGCTTGTGCTTTCAGCTACCAACCCGTTTGTTGATTTGGGACTCATTGCCTTGCAATGGTAATGGAAAGGTGAATGACCATTTTTTTTCTTCAGAAGCAAGTTCTATTTATAAGGAGGCATTAATTCATCATCTTTTATTTACTAGCTTAACTACAAAGAAGGGTTTAAATCTGTTCCCTTGTGAATTTATCCATTTCCAGGTGAACAAGAAGGAGGTGAAGAAGTCGTTGACTGCTCAATAATTGACTATTTATTAGATGGGATGCAAAACATTCAACTCTTGTGATCTTGAAGTTCAAAATGAAGGTAGGGAATCTTTGCTGCTTTCATTCTATATTTTCTTGCGCCAATTGTTGGAAACATCAATAGATAAAGAGAGTATTTTGGCAATCTAATCCTACATAATTTATGCCTCATTTGAACAAAAGTAGTCTGCCAATTCTTTGTGATTGGGGTCTGCTCAATTGTATGTGATTGACTTTGAACAGTGATGAGATTCACGAGGCAACTAAGAAACAAAAGTGAAATTTGCTTTAAATTATTGAAGTAGTTAATTACAGTTAAAACTTTAAAATCACTCCAATAGTGAGGAATTTCTCACACAAATCAATATTCGAGAGAGGAAGAGCGGGAGAGATGGAAACGTGATATCGGGTTAAAAGAAAAATGAACAACATGCTTCATTAACGAGATGGGTTGAGTATTTATATAGAAGGCCTAAAATTAGCTACACTAATGAATATTAATTAACCAGCTAATCTAAATTGATTTAACTAATTACAATAGCTTTGATAATTGTACACGCTGACTTTATAATTTGACTTTTTCAATTGCTGACTATATACATGCTGACTCATTTGACTCGTTCTACTTTCTATAAATGCAAAATTTGTGTTTTATTATCGTTTTCACCCCTAGCTCCTCTCAAGCTGGAGTATTCAAGTTTTGTATAACCAGCTTTCTTATCACATTTTGAAATGCTGAAATGGAAAGAGAATTTGTGAAACAATCACCTAATTGATGGATTAAAGGAACATATAATAAATCTATAAGGCCAAAACAATGCTATGTATTTATATGCTGCATGTGTTTGTATGTGTACTAAATTTAGTATTATTAAGAAAATTAGTTTTCTATTTATTCAATAATATATATTTATCTATAAGATACTACATAATCCTAACTCACCCTCATTTTTCATATAACGTACACTTTCCCATGGCATGAAATGAACTTGTATATACTCCCGAGTACTCTCCCATAGAAAAATCCTAAAAAAATACTCTCCTTCTAAAAACCCTTATTGGCATCTTCATCAATGGCAAAAAGAAAATTAGAATCATATACAAAATATATTTAATTAATAACTTGAGCTCCAATTGATAAAAACTTGACTGTTCATTCAATTAATCTTTTCTCAGTCTTATATAAAACAGGTCATCATGTCGACTCAACATTTGATTTAACTCTTAACATAAATCTTATACATATACATAGAACATCCTCCATTCTATACCTTATCTTTGATGTCATTTCCTTAAGCCATATGCTTTCCATATTTAAAGTAGTCAATTTACTTTCTTAAAATTAACCTGTAACACTAATACTAAGTCTATACATATAAGATTTCTCTTTAAATTCAAAATCTCCTCTATCCTTACAAAATACTAAAGTGTCATCTATAAACTAAAATAAGCTTAACCTTTCTTCATTATGGCCCAACCCAATTGCTCTCAACTTCCTTGCCAACATTAGTCTAATACACTAGCATTAGAAACTCCTCCACCACTATGTTAACAATAAATAGTGATACTGGGTCCCTTTACCTTAATTCCCTTTTCATTTGAGATTGATTTGCGAATATCCAACTACTAAAATCAATACTTCTACTTTTGACAC